CGGACGACGCGCCACAGCGGGCTGTCTGCAGCGCCCTGAGGTCAGACTCAGCCGTCACCTTCATCGCACACATGGCCTGGACGGTTTCTGTGGAATGAATGAACTCAGCAGTGGGGCACACAGGAGGCGGGGCTTTGTGCCAGAGGCTGGCAGGCCGGGGGCACTGTCCTACCTTGAAGGGGTGGGAGCCATTGAGGACACCACTGTGTCAGCACTTGTGGTTAGCCAAGAAAGGCGTCATCTCTTCACGGACAAAGATGAGCGCCAGGCGGCACACCTGGCATCAGACACACTCAGCCTGTGCCCAGGGGAGCCTACTCTGTGGGCAGGGAGACCAGGGGTGGTAGCTTGCCCCTGCCCTGCTGTCGTCACCAAGAAACCCCGTGCGCCCGCCACATCCCCAGGTGCCCATCTCTCTCCTGGGGACAGTCCTGGGCGCTGAACTCAAGGTGTCCCCGACTGATATGCCCGGGCCCAGCGCCACGCTTTTCTGCACAAAGCCCCCCCCCACCCAGTCCCTGCACACACAGCCCGGATGCCCGGGAGGCGCCCTGAATGCCCAGTCCCAAGCCCTAGGACTCATCACTCCTCCACCTTCAGACCCTGTCCTGTTCTCTGCCAGGGGTAACCCACCCAAGCCTGCGTCATGCCAGCTGTGCCAGCCGGACAGATGCCCTCCTCCAGAAATCAACTTTGTGGGGACACAGACTTGTCAGTTTTGCTGTTGTGAATCCCCAGGGGCGAGCACGAAACGAGGGCCTGAACCACACTGGGGAATGAGGGAAGGAAGGAGGCGGAAAGCTCGCCCCCACGCTTCCCCAGGCCGGCTCCCTTCCCTCACTTTACTTGCCTCGTGGACTCAGTGCGTCCTGATGACGAAGCGAGGACTCACTTGCTTATTGTCTGCCCCCAGCACGTGAGCCGGAGCGGGCGTCCCTGCTGGGCCCTGGACCGAGCCGTCCGGCAGGGATTGGGGACAGTGGGAGGGCGCGCGTGCCGCCTGGACATCCGAAGCCCTCTGGGTCTCGTTAGGCCATTTTGCGGCCTCTGTCCCAGGAGGCACCCATGGCACCTGAGGCCCAGCCAGGCACACACCCCACCAGCCAGACGTGCCCAGTCCCGACACGCGGTGTCCTTAATCCAGAGAAGGTGACCATTTGCCAGAGGCTGTGAAGAGGCCCTCCCGTGTTCTGCCAACTAGAGGACCCAGACTCAGCTCCATGCTGGCCGCCCCTGCGGCCTCAGTGCCAAGCTGGAGGGCCCCAACAGGCCTATCCCTGCCCCGGCCTGCCACCCAGTCCAGACTGTTTCCCCAGCCAGAAAGTCTAAGCTCTTCCCTGCAGGTGAACTGGCCAAGATGGCGGACAAGCTGGCTCCATCGAGACTCCCGAGGAGCCGGGCTGTGACTAACAGAAAGTAAGTCTCCATCCCAGCAGGGGTTACGAGGGCCACACACAGAGCCTCCAACCCTACCGGGTCTCCCTCACCTGCAGGGATCCGTGGAGCTCCACATCACCTCACTACCCCACCCCAGTGCGAATCTGGGACTCCCAGGTAGTAAAGACACAGCCGCTGGTAAGGTCCACCGGCCTCTCCCTCTCCCCCATCCAGCACTGCCTGGCTGAGCCACCCCAGACCCTCCACCCCTCAGCTCCAGGCCTTCTCCAGGCACCTTCCCGTCACCCTCCTAAGAGATGACCACCCCTCTGTGCCTCGAGGCAACGTGAGGGGACAGTCACTGCCTCCTCTCTCCTGAACCCCGAAACTTCATCTGCGGCTTTGACAAGCAGCTGAGGTTCCCCACTTAGCCCTCTGCGGACCCACATCCAGCCCAGCTCTACAGCCCACAGGCACCCAGACCCCGGTGGCCGCCGGCACAGGGAAGCATCGGCCTCCACGGGGGCTGCCCCTGTCCTCACCAGTCAGACGGCTTCAGGACTGTGCCCGTCCAGTCAGCATCCGGTGATCCGTCCGCACAGCCTCCAGCCACAGGCCAGTCCTGGGGTTCATCAGCGCCTGAGGTGCTCCCGTCCCAGGACAGCAGGCGTCCGCACCGGCACAGCTGGCCGCCTCCCAGTCAGAGAGCAGCGCTTCCCTGCCTGCCGCCGGCAGGGGCGGCTGCCAGTGACCCAGAGGAGCTCATGGCTATGACAAAGGCCAAGGAGGCGAGCGAGAGACCCTAGCTGGGCAGCACCCCCACGGGAGGGGCTGTCCCGCCTGCCGGCTGGACACCCACACCTCACACGCCCAGGCTGTCGGCAGGTGAAGGCCGGATAATGGGCTGCCTGCTGTGAAGACTGTTCCTCCGCCCAGACCTGGGAGCTGGCAGCCCCTCCCGAGCTCCCCAGGGGGCCCGCCCTTCAGGGCGTGATGTCGCTCACGGCTGGGTGTCAGGGGACGCGAGCTGTACCTGCCTCCTGGCCTTGGTCAGTCCTGCCAGCCTAGCGGCAGGAGGCAAGCACGGGAGAAGCCACAGAGCAGAGGGGCATGGGGTGGCGGTGGTGGGACACCCATTCCTTCCCCTCAGGGCCCCTAGACTGGGCCTCCAAGAGGGGTCAGGGTTGGGGGGAGAGAAAGGGGCCGAGATGCCAGCCGCCCTGACCTGCCCGCTCTCCTCTGCCCCCTCCCCACCAGCTAGGAGGCCCCGCAACAGCAGAAGTGAAACGGCTGGGCGAAGGCTGACAGCTTGGGGGCCTGGCGCCCCCTCGGAGAACTGTGTGGGGTAGTGCAATGAGGCGAGGCGGGCGCACAGGGCCACACACCAGCAGGTGGGAGGGGAGGCAAGCATGCTCCCCAGGGAGCCGCCGGGACAGGCCTGCACCTCACTGCGCATGGCGAGGGGACCGTGTCACGAGGCAGGTACCTCTGAGGCGCTGGTGAGCGTGGCAGGGGCCGTGCGGGCTGGCTGCCTTTCCCTGGAAGGCTTTTCTGCCGGGGGCACACCGAGGGCCAGGTTGCGTGATCGAGACCATCGTGCGCAGCTCTCTGGGGCCCAGTCAGAGCCCCCTCACCCGCCTGTGTCGTCCTGGCATGGAGGGTGAGGGCTGGGAAGCCCCTGAATCCCAAGCCTGGGCAGTAGGTTTCACAGAGGGGTGTATAGGGCCCTGGAAGGAGCCCCTCGCCCCCACACTCGAATGAGTCCCCCACTTGTCCCTGGGAACGTTCAAGGTTGACTAGGGCGACGGTTGGGTTCAGGCCAGGCAGCTGGGCAGGGAAATAGCGTCATGGGTGAATGTTCCAGAAGACCAGTTGGGAGGTGCCCCCCCACAGAGCCCTACGGAGGGGCGCGGCAGCCACCTTGGTGGGGCCCAGGCGCAGGCTCCGCCCCAGCTCTCACGGCCCAGGAGGTGTTTCCCCAGGGGCCACCTGGCTGTTTGTTTGCATCTCAGCTAAATTGCTCCCACCGGTGAGCCTTCGTTTCACAACATATTTTCAACCAGACTTTTTCTGCAAACATGTCCGTGTCTGCTCACGCACACGCACAGCCCGCCCCAGCGGGCAGGCCGCGCCCCGCCCCGCGGCTGTTTCTCTTCCTCTGAGCTCTGCTGTGCGGCCAGGCTGGAGCAGCCGGAAGGGGCAGCTTTGGCCTGCACAGGCGGGCAGGCGTCCTGGCACCGTGTCCGCGTTTACCCTCCCATGCCATGTCAAGGTGGGGGTGCGGGGGACGCCAGCCTGAGAGAGCTCGTGGGCCGCGCTGCCCCCGGAGTGAGCACCTGCACCCGGGCCCGGGCGGCGGCTGCAGCGTGGGGGGCTCAGAGGCGGCCTTCCTCTGTGCCTGCCTGTGGTTCCTGGGCTCCAGGCCCTTTGGGGGAGCAGGGAGGCTCCAGGTCGCCCCCCCTAACTAGATGCACTGTGCTGCCCACTCTGCAGGGACCTGTCCTGGGCCAGAGAGGGACCCTCCACCTGTTCCCTCGCCAAGTGTCCCTGTCCGCTCCCTCAGCGGGGCCCAGGCTCCAGCGCAGAGTCCCACAGGCTGACAGGAGGCCCTTCTGCTCTGAGAAGTGTCGCAGGCCCCAGGGCGCCAGCAATAGCGCCCCTCCTGCAGGGCCCATTGCCGACCAGAGGGCCGACAGGGGGCATGGGGCAGGCCAGCTCTCCTCTCCCAAATGTGTCGCCGGCCCCCCTTTCTCTCTGACACTCCTGCTCTGGGGTTTGAGCCCCAGCAGCGACCCTCCACCCCTCTGCCCTGCCCCCGCCCTCACACCCGAGACAAGCTTCCAGGTACCGTGTGTGTTGGGCAACTGTGGACGGTGCAGGGCTCTGTGCTGGGGCTGGTAAAGCCCCGTGCGCGACCTGCTGTCAGCCCAGCGCCAGTCTGTGGGACGCTGAGACCCAGCCCACGTCGGACTGCCCGGACAACCCCAGGACATGCTCCCCCAGCCTGGGCCCCATTTCCTCCTGGACAAATGGAAAGATTCTGGTGCCTTCCAGATTTCCTCAGACCAAGTTCCCCAAGACCTGGCCCAACAGGGGTGCCAAGCTGCTTCCCCAGGGGCTCAGCAAGTCGCACCCCCGGGGGCCTCTACCCAGCAGGAAACGGGGGGGGGAGTGGGCTCCCAGGGTGGGAGAACCCTGAGTACTGGCCTCGTCCACAGCAGCTGACCCCAGGAACCCTGGACGCCAGAAGTCAGCCTTGGGGTTTGCTGCTGCCATTTAACCTTTATTGAGCGTATTCTGTGCGCAGAGCACTGTGTGCATAGGGCGAGGACAGAGCCGGCGGAGCCCTGCCCCTGCCAGGCAGGACGGAACAGAAGGGGCAACGAGGGGCGCGGGCTGGGTCCAGCCCCCGATATTCAGCGGCCGGCGGGCAGGCGGGGCGAGCTGCCAGTGGTGTCACATGGGGATCGGATGGCCCCTCCTCATCCTCCAAGGGTGACCTCAGCCCACTGAGTTCCCCAAACGCGGGCCCCAGGGGCTGCTGAGAGCGGATGAGAGCGGAAGGACGATGGACAAGAGGGAGCGGGGCAGCGGGCGGAAGCGGGCGCAGAGGGGCGGCAGCCTCACCGGCGCATCCACAGCCACAGGCCGGCCAGGCAGGCCGACACCAGCACCGTGAAGAGGAGCGTGTCCCTGCGGCGCAGGCCCACGCCCTGGTCTTCCAGGGCGCGCAGGCGCCCGGTGATCACACGCAGCTGCAGGGACCAAAGCGCAGGTGTGCGCGTGAGACAGGGCAGGTGACAAAGGCCTCCAGGTTGGGCGCAGACTGCACAGCTGAGGGGGCCTTCACTGCCCAGCCCCCTGGCCACGCCTCGATGCCCAGCCCCTGGGAGAGGCCAGCCCGCGCCGCTGTGGGCGACCACAAGGGCGTCTCCGTCCGGGGCGGGCTGGTCGGCGGGCGCTGCGGAGCAGGGCGGGTTGCCCCGGGAAGGGCAGCCGCTGGGGTCAGACAGGCGCGCGGGGACAGGGGCCCGTTCGTGCTGCCGCAGGCTGGCTGCCAGCTGTGCCTGAGGCCTGACCCGAAAGAAGGCGGCAGTGTCCCTAGCGCCTCTCAGCAGGCGCAGGCTGACTCCCCCAGGACCCCTTCCCCTGCCCCACTTTGCCCTCTCCTCAGAGCCAGTGGCTATAGGAGGCAGCCAGGAAGAAGGGAGGGCGGCCTCGCCTCTGAGGCTGCCAGGAAGACGACTGTCCTGCCAGGGCCAGCGGACACCCACCTGTCTGCGCATGACCTCCATCTCCAGCCCGTTCAGCTCCTCCAGACCGATCTCCGCAATCAGATCTGCCTCCGCGTTGCTGGAAGTCAGAGAGACAGACGGTGAGAGGTGCCAGCGGCCCCCAGCCAGGCCCAGCCCTCAGCACCGGAAGGTCACAGGGTCAAGTGGGTAAGTCAGGGCTTCTCTGGGCAGTGGCTGCCAGAGACCAGTCCTCTCCCTCCCTGGCAAGGCTGTCCTAGGGCCAAGCCAGGCCCGCCGGCCACAGGACGCTCAGCGTCCCACCCACCACATGGGGCAAGGGCCAGTCAGGGGCTGTGGCACCCAGGCGGCCGAGCCCTGACACCACACGCAAGTCAGCTGCTCACGAGTCCTTCCTGGTCTGCTGGCACCAGCCACCCCCACAGCCAGACTCCCCCGCGGGGTCCCTGGGCCCTTCTTACCGCTCGTAATGGCACCTCATGCCCTGGAAGGTGCCAGGACACTCCTGGACATAGGCGTCGCCATGGCCCGCTTCTCTGGACAATCTGGGCATCGGCAGCTGGGACCCCTATGCAACAGGAAAGTGGCCCAACCCACACTTTGCCCGGACTGATGGAACACCCACCAGGCATCAGGCCCGAGCCGCCACAGGGGCAGACTGGCCACTGCGGAGCGCTAGGAAAGCCCAGGCGCCCACGAGCTGGACCTGAGTTGGACCTGCTCCTCCCCCAAGCCGCCATGTGGCCCCACTCCATCCACCGTGATCAGCGGGGGCCCCGCCGCCAGAACGCCCCAGGCAGCCCTGGGGCCCCACACTCCACCGCACCATTTTCTTGGGCCGGGCGGAAGTCATATTCCAGAGCGACGGGGCTGCGGCGGGGCCAGCGGCCTTTGGGTCCAACTTCTGTCGCCGCTGAGAAGCACCCAGGGACCGGGAGCCATGCTCTATCATTTCTAGGGAGAAGAGATGCCCCAGGAATACCCAGAGGCACCGGCAATTTCTGGGGCACAGGCACACCAGAGAAAGGCCAGGGTCCCCACACTGCCTAGGAGTCACGCAACACCTATTCACTGCTGGCGAAAGCCCAGTTTGTCCATCTCTTCACAGCTCAGCCAGTATTTACTGAAAAAAGAGCAAAGACAAGATGAGGGTCTCGAGGCCCTGACCAGCCCCCAAATAACAAAAAGAGAAAGCAATGCACTGCTTCCGGGAGTCAGAAACGAAGAGAAAAGGAGCCCAGTCGTGGAAGAAAGATCCAGGCGGAGGGACAGCAGGCAGCAAGGGAGGGTGCCAGAGAGCCAGACGGGACGCGAGGGCGCGGCCGGCTGGCCGCGTGGGCTATGCTGGCGAGCTGAACTTGGCTGGATCCTGGAGACCAAGGTGCGGAGTTCAGACTTGACTGTCAAGGGCAGGAGAGGGCACGTGGGGGTAATTGGGAGAGGGATGCGAGGGGTCTTTTAAACGGACCCTCTGAACATTTTACAACGGACACCACGGTGCTTGCGTGAGGGGAGACGCACGGAACACACCTCGGGCGCAGCTCCCGTCAAGAGCGCCCCCATGCAGGTATAGCACCCCAGATACAGACAGCAGCCCCGTGTGCCCGCCCCCATGCCCGCCCCCACGGGAGCAGACACCCCAGGGATGGGCCACCGAGGGCTGGCGCCTTACCTGCGATCACCAGGTGCTCCTGGTTCTGCCTGTGCCCCCCCGGGCCCAGCTCTTCATCCAGGCACATGTCCACCTCTTCCTTGGTGCTCGGGGGGCCTCCCGCCATCACCGCCAGGGGCTCACTCGTCAGCACGGCGGAGGAGGCTAGGCGCTCGGACACAGAGGGACGCCAAGAAGCAGTCTCGGGGGCAGAAGCTGGCCCAGATATACCTGAGCCCGGAGGTGGGGTCAGACGCCCTCTCTCTGCTCAGCCTTGGGCTCAGCACCCCTTGTTCCCGCTTTATCTTGCGGGCTGGGCTGGCAGCTTCTCTCCCGCTACTCTGTAAGCGACTCAGGAGAACAGATAAGGCTCGGGAGCTGCACCCGTGGGAACCGCCTGCTTCTCAAAGCGCCGGCTTGCGCTCGCCGGGCGCTGGTGGGATCAGCCCGCCATCAGCACTAAGGAGAGGCAAGGGCTGCAACCGCGCCCGGAGGCGGTCAGTGGCCAGAGCAGGGTTAGGTTTCGGGCCCTCGTGGCTTGCACAGGCCAGTCCCGCCAGGTCCAGAGTCAGCCAGCCCGGGCGCCAGGAGAACCAGGGGCAAGGGCAGGAGGGGAAAGCCCGCACCCACCGGAGCCCCCACCTCCTGAGGCCCTGCAGTCCCTGGTCTCGGCCAGAGCTCCCGAGGCCTCCAGACTATTAGCCCACCACAGGCCAGGCTTCTGTGTGAACCTGGCTAGTCCCACGCTCCCCCGGCCCCAGTGAAGGCCGGCCGAGGCGCTGTGGTGAAGGCCATCTGGTCCGTGATGCCGTTCCGGGCCTCGGTGTGTGTGAAGGCCTTAAGAGCCGGACCGAGGCTCCCCAGGGAAGAAGGGATTCTGCGCACGATGGCAGCATCCCCAGGCCTGCCAGCAGGCCCGGCTGTGGGCCCCACTACAAGCCAGTTCCCTAAAAGAACTCTCCGTGCACACACACATGACACACACGATGCACACACGTGTGCACACACATCCGACGGAGCCACTTCTCTAACCCCAAAATGAACCCCCAGTGCCAGGGACCAGCCCCAGGGGAAGAGGCTCTTTGCAAAAGCAGCCAAAGACAGCTGGGGCCTGGTGGAGGGAGGGGGAGAGGAAGGGGCCGGCTGGCTTGGGCAGGGTGCGCTGGCCTGGGCCGCTCCACCCCCACCCAGCCTGACCCCACCGCGCGGGGTTCTCCACGCAGAGCTGGCTCTGGGCGTCTGCATTCGCGGGTCTGTGCCACAGCAGCTGCGAGAAACCTGAGCCCTGGGCCTGGAGCAGGCCTTGCAGGCATGGGACTCCGGAAAACAGGAGCGGCGGGTCTCGCCAGGGCCGCCAGGCCCAGCGAGTACAAATATGCTGCGCGGCTGAGGTCACAGAATCTCAAAGAAACCACAAGTCATTTTATTAGCGTGTGTCCTTGTGACGTCACAAGCGTGTGTCCTTGTGACGTCTGACACACTCGCGCTGAAGATCCAGTGCGGTCCGAGTGGTGGGCCCTCTAACTGGTACCCTGGATGTTGTCCAGCAGCGGTAGGTGGGCCTGCGCCTCCTGGCCGTGGCGGCAAGGTCTGGCCTTGAGCGAGCGCTTCCTGTTTGGGGCTCAGCATTCCCACTCGCATGGAGCGAAGGATCTCCTTCAGGCAGCTGGACCGTGTGGGCGTGCAAGCCAGCAGAGCAGGCGGCGTGGGCACTGCCAGGACCTGGCACTGCTGACCTCAGATCAGATTTCCCTCCGGCTGCCAACTGGCCTTGACCACTGGGCTTCCGGCACAGCAGCAGCGGGCCCAAGTGCATGAGGAAGCACTGCCCCCTGGTGGCAAAGGGGCCCGTTCCCTGTGGCCCCCACTGCCACCAGCACCCCACCCCACACCCACCTCCCCCTCTTGGGCCGGACACCCACGCTGGCCGGGAGGTGGGAGACAGAGTGGCCCACGTGACAGAGCTTGTGCCCTGGCGTGATCAGAGGGTCACCCTTCCCCTCCGGCAGCATCTCCTCACCGAAAGCACCGCCAAGGCGCCCAGCCCAGTGTGCCGACCTCTGGGGCACGGGGCTACATGCCTGTGCACGAAGACCGGTCAGGCATCATGGGGGGCGGGGGGCTGGCCACAGGGGCTGCAGAGATCGAGACAACAGGGGAAGCTCCCAGAGAAGCAGCCGGCGCGCAGAGGCCTGCAGCTCAGCTCAGGGCCGCCTGTGGGACACCACCTAGGCCAGAGGAGGCCTGGCCACGTGAGGGCACACGTTTCAGGGACATGCTGCAACTGACTGAAATGAGCAGGCTGCCTCGGGCGCTCCTGTGTCCGATTACGTCTCCCTTAGTCGCCTGGGATGTGGCAGTTGCGCGCGGCCCCACCCGCGCGGCGTGCCGAGTGTGGCTGGCGCCACGGTGCACGTGCAGCGTTTTGAAGAGCAAGTACCTGTGAGTGGGGCGGCGGGGTGCTGGCCAGGAGTGTGCAATGACCCCAGGTACTGTCGCTGTCTCCCCTCGTCCCCTCCAGGCTCTCCAGCAGGTGCTGTTTCCGCAGAGCCGATAACGAGACCTCGTCCTACAAGGCGCCGTGACGGCCGAGAAGTGGTATCTGGCTCGTCGCTGATTTGATTTCTATTGCTTCGATTGTGAATAAACCTCAGCAACTTTTCAGATGTTTATTGATCTGCTCTATCTTTTCCCGTGAACTGCCTGCTGCAGGGCTTGGATCTTGATTAAAATAAGAGCTGTTCTATCAACAGAAAAGGGTGGGGGCGAAGCCCTGCCTCCCTTCCAACTAAGCGTCTCCAAGGAAAGCATCTCCTCCTTTGCCCTGCGGGTGATCGCGAGCACCGACCGCCCCTGGGACCAAAGAAGCCCGTGAACTGCATCCAACGCTGCCAGAACCCCCGCACCCTCCCCCGAGCCGCCATCCACTCGGCTGCTGTCTGCTGCCCGCCTGCCCCCGACCCCACCAACCCGCCTCCCCCACGCCGCACGGCCACAGGCCTCTGCCAGCTGCCCAGCAGCCGCGCACTCTGCTCAGCGCCCCCCTGCCGCCAGCAGGGGTCTGCCAGCCCTGCCCCTGCCTCTCCCGCCTCCCTGCGGGTGGGAAGCCAGGCCCGGTGCGCCCGGGCGGCCCAGACACGGCAGCCTCCCTGCTCCGAGCCCCAGCTCCCAGCTGCATGTGGAAAATTGGGCAAGAACCCAATCCCACACTGGGCAACACGGTCTCGGAGAGGCACCGGGGCCACCTGGCCGCGGCTGCACCCTGCCTCTCTTCACCCAGAATGGTTCTGCTGGGGCTTGTTTGGAGGGTGGATTCTTTTTGCTTGTTTCTTGCAATCTTAAATCAAGGGAACATGGGTTTACCACATCCAGTGAGTTGCCCACGTACAGCGTCATAAGTGAACCACCCGTCCCCCAGTCCGCTGCCCACTTTTGGGAGAGGCTGCCACGATCCTGTCTGGGCATTTGCTTTCATTTTGTTTTGTTGGTTCATTTGTCTTGGTTCGTTCTCTTCCACGGAAGACTGGAATCGTCCCATGCGGGCCTTTCTCCTCCTGCTCCGCCCGTGTGGTCATGGGATGGCGGGGCAGGGGTCACCTTTCCACGGAGCAGTCCTCCTCCAGCCCCGTCTCCCATCAGGCTGCTGCGGCAAAGGCCCTTCCCACAGCGCCCTGGGAAAGTGCGCAGCGAAGGGCGCCGTCTCCCGGCGCTGCTCACCTCAGCCCGACGGCACAGTTGCCAGCCGGAAAGGGCCCTGATCTGGCTGCAAAGCCGCCTCTTCGGGCGTCTGGGAGTTTCCATTCCATGTGCTAACAAAACCTATGAAACAAACAATTCTCCTTCCTGCTGGAAGCAGCTGGGCGAGGTCATGCCTGGACCCCAGGCCCACCTCGCCCAGCCAGAGGGGAAGAGGCAGAATCACAAAGCCTCGCGGCCACCCCTCCATTCTGTGGGGACAGGAAGGACGGGGCAGCAGCCTAGGGGACTGCAGCCGACTGGGACAGGGAGGGGGAAGTCAAAAGCTGCCAGGCCACTTGGGCCTGGGCCCAGCCTGGAGACCCGTCTCCATGGGGCAGGGCACCTCAGTTTCCAAGTTCAGGCTTGGTAAACTGACTCGCAGGGAGAGCAACTGCCGGGTGCTGGGAACAGGGACAAGGTCCTCACAGAGGACAGGGAAGGAGAGGCACAGCAGCAGGGAGTCAGCGAGGCCCTTCCGCAAACGTTCCCGTTTAGCTGACGGGCAAGCCGAGGGCTGGGCCAGGGCCCAGGGCAGTCGTCAGTCAACAGCAGGGCAGGGCCCAAGCCCACGCCTGCAGCCTGGCAAGGCCATTCCTTCTAGAACCTGAGGAGGCCAAGAGCTTTAGCCCCTCTCCCATGCCAGCCTGACTTCACTCTGAGACAAAGAGCCAGCAGCAGGGTCCAGTCATGGGCCAACCGTGAGTGCCCAGGCTCTACGCCCACAGCCTGGCCCACCCCGTGGAGTGGGAGCCCAGCTCCCACATTTCTGGCTGTGGGGCCCTAGGCAATGGCTGCAGTGTCCTTGCCGGAGAGGTGGGGAGGGCCCAGGGCGGAGGGCGCTCGGTTCCCGGCAGCCAGTGCACATGCGAAGGCCGCCGGCTGCCAGGGTCCTCAGCGAGCCCTCGAGCCCGGCCTTCCACGAGGTGCTGAACCTGAGCTGACTGTGCAGCCTGCAAGGCAGCTGGTGCTCAGGCCCAGGCCCCAGCTCTCCGGGCGAGCTGTCTCTGCTCTCTGCAGCACCCCCATCAGCCAGTGACTCCTCAGCATGGATGCGCGGGCATCTGTCTGCGAGCACCTGTTCCAGGAGGGCGAGTCCTGACCTGCGAGACTCACCTCCCTTCCTCCACGCGAGGCCATGCCCCTGCCTGAGGCCTACTGGGAACTGCTCGGCTGCTGCTGCCTGTGGGTTAAACGAGCTGAATATTATAAAAGGCACCTTGTCTGACTCAGGCTAGGTCCTCTCTGGCCCTCTGAAAGTGCTGCCCCGCCCTTCACCTCCCAGCAGGCACCGCTCTCCTGATCCAAATCTGGCTTCCTCGCCGCTCGCAGCTGACCCGCATCTTTGGAATTAATCATCAAGTCATCGTCCTCTCATTCCTCCCAGAAACA